ATCATTCAGAATATTTTCTGTTGTGATTTGAGATGATGTGACATCTCTGACCAGCCTGTTTTGTCATTACTGTTGTGGTGGCATCCTTTTGTCAAGTCTTGATTAAATAGTGGATATTTGTCCCTGACATAACTGTTGCTGCTTGATACTAAGAAAAAAACTTGGCACTTGTAGGTCATCTACATGACATGTTTGCTAGATATTATGATTGTCTGATTCATGTGCAAGGATACAGTATATGCTTCTCCAGTGATATTCACAATTCTATTGTAATGTGGATCTTCAATTTTTGCAGGTAGCGATGGAAACAGAGGGTTTTGCTATTTATGATGCTATGATGCAGTTAAAAAATGAGGTACCAGTCTTTCCATTATCATGTTTTCCACTTTAGCTCTTGTGGCCCTTTATGAGAGCATAATAAATTGTCTTACCTTTTTTATGATCTTTTAACTTATGCAACTTTATAGTCTCTTATATTGGTGTGCTAAACTAGAATGGGAAGTTTGATTGCAAACTAGTTATCTCTTCATCTGTTGTTAATTGGAGACTGGTGTGATCTGCTCTTATTTAGCTAATGTTAGTTTAATTCCTTTGGCCTTTCTCAGTTTCTCATTTATTAGATAACATCTCATATTCTTTTAGAAGTGACTGGTTGAATAGAGGTATATATGGATTGTAGGAATGATCCTTCAGGTTGTTTCTTCATGAAGGACAATAGAAGGATATCAAAATTTGGTCTTAGATACTGGCATATGAGTGCTACAAAATCAGGTGATTGGATTTTGATGCTTCTCAAAAGAATGCAAGTTTGAGTTATTATGAGGATGAGCCTAGTTTGATTGCTGCATGCCTGTGATTCCAAACCAAAGGTAATAATTGTGCAATGAAAAAGTGGGCTTGTGCCTTGACCCTTTTTGTATCACTTTTTCTTGTAGACATGATGAAAGTCATCACTTAGGATACTTTTTCATGTCTTTGGATCTTCCAATAAGATTGTAGGCATGTTTTAGTCGCTTTTGTTGCATTTACTTAGTTTTACGATTGATGTATTAGCACTTCTATTTGTCCTTGTTTTCCAATTATTCTCTCTTTTCTTATCAAAATTTAACAACATATGAAAGAGGGTTATATTTAAGACTTACTAGTTTCCTCAAGCATAAATGAGCTCAATGTATTTTTCTTACTAGTACTTCTTTCCAACTAAATTTTTTTTTCTTAATGCTAATGCAGATTGAGACTGTAGCTGTTGGAGCTGCAATAGGTCAGGCCTGTCTACTTCTTGCTGCAGGAAAGAAAGGTAGACGATTTATGATGCCTCATTCTAAAGGTAAGTTACAATATAGAACTTTTATTTGGTGACTGTATTTCTCTCCTGTAATGTCATTGCCCTATTGAGATGCTGACGCTGCACTTTCATGTCAGCTATGATTCAACAACCTCGTGTTCCATCATCTGGCCAGATGCCAGCAAGTGATGTTATTATCCGTGCAAAAGAGGTTTGATTTCCAAACTTTTTGTGATTATTTCAGATGTTGACATTTTTCTCCATTTAAGTTCAAGAGCATGTTGCATGTTCAGCACGTGGGATCCCAGAATTCTTACAGTTTATTTGTTTTTATTACATGCCCAAAGATCACCAAGAATGTGTATTAATGTTTCCTTATCTTTATTATAGTTCCTTTTATGAATTCATAGGACTATGCTCTTTACAGGTCGTAACCAATAAGGACACACTAGTCAAACTTCTAGCAAAGCACACGGGAAATGTGAGTAGATGGAAACTCATCTTACTGTTTAATAATAAAAGATACTTAAATTTTATTAACATTTTTGCTATAACAGTCGGTGGACACAGTATCAAAGGTGATGCAAAGACCTTTTTACATGGATTCAATAAAGGCAAAAGAATTTGGGGTCATAGACAAGGTACTTTCTTTTTATTCAGCTGGTTTCTTATTCTTATTCAGATCATCAGAAGATCTAGTTAGGCAACAGTATATTAAATTTGTCAACGATGCATATTCATCAGCTTCGCATGATGAGCATTTAGTTAAAGCATGCTTCAGAAGTTGACAAGCGGAGACACAAAGAAAGTATCTGATGTTACTGCAAGCTTTGTAATTATAGTTGCTAATTCGAAAGTTTTTAGACTAAATGATTCTTGTTCTCCAAATGGCTTCATTTCTTGGAGTTCATGTGGTTCAATTAATCATAAAGAAATGATGAGTTAGGTTTGTTTATCGTGCTGCAGATTCTTTGGCGTGGTCAAGAGAAGATGATGGCAGATGCCCTCTCCCCCGAGGAATGGGACCGTCAAGCAGGAATTAAAGTTGCTGATGGGCTGTGATTTTGACTTTTTTCCCCCCTCAAAGTTTACTATGTGGTAAGGATTCCAACATTTAAAAGTCTTTGTATATATATAATATATGTTACATAAATTTGGATCTACTTAGATCAATTTAGAATACAAGTTGATGAAATATTTTGATTGTGGCAGGTACAAGCAGCATTGATGTGAAAAATGCTAGTAGAGAAGAAATCATCTACCATGGCAAATTAAAGAAAACTTGGAGTTCCCTGATTAAATATACTGCGCTAATGTCCTGAGGCTTTCTGCCTTGGCTCTCCACTTGTACCTTAAAGCGCATAATTTGCCATGCTGGAAACTCATTTAGAATGTTGAAGAAACTTAGCTGATGAACCGATGGAAATTATAAAAATGTTTTCTTCTGTGACGTATGTGTAATGAAAAGTCTGTATGATCGGGTAACAAAAGGTTCCAATCTATTGCTAAATGGACTTGCAGTATTCTTCAAGATGTTTGTGGCCTAATATATTAAACTTTAGTGAAATCGTTCAAAATGTATGAGCTCTATTTTATAATTCATTTGCTTAGATGAACTAAAATCAAGTTGCCACTTCTTAAGAGAGAGAGAGAGAGAGAGAGAGAGAGAGAGAGAGAGAGAGAGAGAGACAGACAGAATTCATCTTACAAAGGAATCACATTAGGCTTCATTTATAGCAGTGGGAGAAGTTCCCATCTCATCATCCCATCGACTTCTCTTTAAGACTATTATAGAACCCTAAAAAATAACCACCCTAATCATGGAATCCTCGTATAAGGGATTTTGTATGCTCAATAGCTTTTACATTAACTTCGTAAGCCTTCCGAAGCTGCATGCAGAAAAAACAATGATGAAATTGCATTAGGATTTGTTGTTATCTTGATGCTATTCACCGGGGAGTCGGTATGGTTTGATTATGTTCTGTCCTGAAGGCAAAAGCTAGTCCTGATAGCTCACATGATAGTCACAAGAGGTGGTTAGAATGGGGGAAAGTCTGACTGAAGCAATCCCGAAGTGTTGCTTATTCGCTCGAGGTAGATTTTGCATCGAATTGATGTGGTTTAGGTTTCCTCGGGGTTCTGGAGATGAGCCGAGATGTGCCTTAGCTTTATCAGGAACCCTGTATAAGCGATCAATGTCAGGGGAGTTCTCGATTTGACCCCTCTGATGGTAAAATTAATAGTGGAGTAGAAATAGTATAAGTTCTTTGGTTTAGTCTCTTCTTCAAGCTTTTGGGGTTAGCTTTTATATTGGAGTGACCGACATTCCAAGATTATACTAGAATTGAATGGTTGGATTTAGATAATACAGACAAATAATTTTGTTAGTAAATTTTTTTAAATATTAAAAAATTATGAAATAAATTATACTGAATATGAATTTAATTATATTGTGAATGTCTTGATCTACACGAGCTTTGGTCCTACAATCAATGATTTGTAAGTATTACTCGATCTTAAAATTATCTCTTTCTTGACCCTCTCTCTTATTGTAATCAGCAAATGTCTAAGATAAGATATTTGGAGATGTTTATCCATATCGACCTTATGGAGGATAACATAAAGTATACCAAAATCAAGATGAAAGAATAGTTTTTTTCATATTTTTTCAATAACTTAATTTTAAAATTTGAATACCTGAAATTGATTTTAAGACCCTATCTCTTTTGCGGTATTGATTTTAAGACAATAAAAGTGATAGCAAATTGAATGACTCCAAGTTGAAATATCTCACAATTTATATATTTTTGCATCATATAAACTTTATTAGCGATTGTGCCCAAGCTACATATTTGCTAACTATTGGTAGTTCACCAATATCTTTTAGTACTATATCTATTTAATGAGCTGCGCATAAAGTCCAAAATAATATATTTTTTTCGATCTTAAAATTATAAACTAGACATTTTAAAATTAGCTCTATAGTCAATAACTATTTGGACAATATATTATAGTATGATCTCCTCTATCATAGTGTTTATTAGGTTTACAATATAGTTTGCATTTTGAATCTTGTTGAAAGTATCAATTAGCTTATGAAAAATTACTTGTATGTTGTAATACACAAGAACATTGATGATACTCCTTGTTGGCTCTATCCAACTATCATATATCAGTGTCACCTTACATATATCCTTGTTGGAGGTTTGATACTTGAGCTAAACTTTTGAATAAAAGAGATCATGCTATGATAATATAAATCTTAAGCTATGTTTACTAAAATCATACAAAAGTTAGTCTAGGTATCGATGCATATATATATATATATATATATATATATATATATATATATATATAATCCTCCTTAATTAATCACTCAAGCTTGATCAATCCATAAATCATAGCTTTACGGAGTTTAAAAGAGTGCACATGAAAGATGAGAGAAATATGTGGTGATGAGATGGTGAAAGAAAAGAGATTGAGTACAAATATGAAAGATGAGAATAATACGTGAGTGATGAGATAGCGAAAGAAGAGAGAATGAGAAGAAATACTAACCCTTGATCGATATCATTTGAATCAAATTAATCTTAACCTATAAATTGAAATCTAATTATACAACACAGATTATTTCGACCTTGTACAGGGTCATATAAGGCGATTCACAGTATCAGCGTTTTGTGAATGCTACAATTATTTTCTGCACTCCTTATTGTTCCCTTGAACCAAAAACCTTATTGATGCTTCCAGATGATGATGGTACAAGTAGAGAGATTAACAGTAACAATCAGACGTCCAAATTTAATTGTCAGAAGATGTTCACTTGGGAAGAACCTAAGATCTGTGCTACAAAGTTTTGGAGTACATGGCCTGAAAAGAAGGCTCCAGCTGAAGATCAAACGATAACATGGTCTTCATGATTGTTCCAACCGCTAAGAGTGACTCGCGGAGTGATTCCAGGAGGAGCCTCAAAAGTGATAGAGACGTTCATTGTTTCACCAGGAACAAGTGAGAAATAGTTGTCGGTGTAATGGACTGGAAGGATTCGTGTAACTCCAGAAGTTCCGTGGTTGTTCTTTGCAGCATGAACAGAAAAATGAAGGAAAAAGGCAACTCCTGAATCATTTCCATTTATGTCAACCATGGTGAGGGTATCCACTGACCTCAAGAAGCCAAGGCCTCTAGAAATTCTCCTCAGAATGCTGCTTTCCTTTTCTTCTGAGCCAATGATTGATTTTCCTAAATTTATGCAGTTCTCACCACCTTCCTTATTATTATCCATTTCGTTGCAGATTAAACGCCTAGAGCTTTTTGAGAGGTTCTTCAATTGCATGTTTACTTCGTAGGTCTGACCTGATATAAGAACTTCAGATGTAATCTTTAGTGGCACTCTCTTCTTTCGATATAGTTCCAATGACTTAAAGTCTTTGCCAGGCAGATGCAACCAATAAAAGTTCCTAGATAATATGGAAAAATCTGACAGTCTGAAGAGTTTGAGAAGAAGAAAATACACTGGTTGTGCATTCTTTGAATTGGGATACTTCATTTTGACAACTTCTACCACCTTCTTGGGTGGTACCAAGATTTTCTCTGTGACATTGTAGAATGGACAAGATCCATCCAGGCCCCAAACTGAAACTTCTACTGCCACATTTGAAAGTCCAGCTGAAGTTGTATTCACGACCTGGCACACAAATAATTGCTTTGTAGAATTCAAGATATTACATTTAAAACTATAATATAGTAAATCAAATTACCTCTACAAAGTAGCTAGCTAGATTGAGCTGGACATGAATTGGTTCAGCAGCACAGCGGCAGCCAAAGAATCCTGCAGTCTGATCATGAAGATGATCATAGAACTGACCTCGGAGGCCTGTCCAAGGATTTTGAGTCTTCCAAATCAGGACACCTGTGTACTTGGTCCACATTCGAGAAGTCCAACCCTCCAGTAAGGCTCTATATTGGACATAATTGACAAGTTGTGCCTACAACAAAATGAACAAGAGATTTGCTGCAAAGAAGATTCAACAAGTTTCAATTTAAAAAGACTAGCGATTTGGTTTACCTTGTCACAGAAATCATCCAGGCCTTTTGGACGCCCATAAAGCTCAATCTGATCATGGACTTTCCCTGGCTTTGAATATGGAATGTATTTGTGATACTCCCATATAGGGTTCGGAATTTCTTCTATGTACCCATCAGATCCCTTGCTGAATAATGGTATTAGCCATCCTTCTGAAGGCATTGTGGCCCTGATTGTAGCTGCAACGGGCATGCCAACAGAGCCAACCTCTGGATTGAACCCATATGGGTAGAAATTATCCCTAAAGAAATCTTCAGGGTTCTGGATTTCATAAGGTCCATCAGTAAAATCACCCTTTCCATTTGCAAAACCATCCCATAGTGATCCTTGTATATATACACGTGTCCCATCAAGATACTGACTTGGGTCCTTTGTGTTGTCTGACAAACCTTCAACTGTAGTATGAAACAATGGATGGAGTTTCAAGTCATTTTTTAGAGATGTGTTAATATCTTTTGGGGGAATTTGTTCATTGCCACCAACCCAAAGAGCCAGGCTAGCATGGTTCCTGAGAAGCTTGACAGTGTCTCTTGCACATAAAATAAAAAGGTTATGGTCCAAAGGCCCATCAGGATTAGATATTGGTACACCTCGTCCATCAACATCTCCTGTTATCCAAAATTCTTGCCAAACCTGTAGCAAAGTAATTGTCATCACAAATTAAGATGCTGAAAACATAGAGAATTGATGCAAAAACAAATATCCTATATCTAATCAAAAGTTCATATGAATTTCATGTAAAGTTCAACTAAAAAGGAAGTAACAAAAATGTAATTGTTATTTTCTATAAAGTAGGGAAGAAAAGTACGAGAGATAAAAAGCAACATTTGTGCTCCAAGAGAACACTAGAATACAAGTGTAGGTGCCAAAATATAGACACAATTCTATCATTCATCAGTCAACCAGAGTTTGGATAATTTTCCATGATAACAATATGCTGAGCCATCTCCTATCCAGCAAAGTAGACTCCAACAGAAGATCAGAGTAGTGGAGGAAGGATCATAAAACAAATTGTAGGAAAAGCTTAGCTTCTTATCTTTCTAATAATGATTCAATGATATGAACAAAATTCCACAAACATGAATTTATAGACTCAACCTTAACTAGATTCAAAACCAAACTTTGAGACAAAGGGAAAATACTGAAGCATGTGTTAAATAGTCTAGATCTGCACCATCTGCGGGAGGGACAATAAGCATTTAAAACCCACCCCTAAAAGAATTTCCTTAAGATGAACCTTATGTTTAATGGAACCCCCACAAATATTTAACCTTTTGGAGTGTAGTAGCTTTTGGGAAGAACTTTAGATAATGGAATTACTTTGCCTCTGAAGTCAAAGACAATCAAAAGAATGAACTGAATATGCTCCTAAGCTTGTTCACTACAGAACTAGAATCTTCTCCACCAAAAGAGGAGAGACTAATAAAAGAAAGATGTATTATACAGTTATGCTAGTTGATATAATGTTTCGGCAATTGACAATTACAATAATGGTATGCTTGTTACTTTCACAAATCATTTACATGTTTAGATGCAGCTAATTGAGGATGCTCACCACTAAGCATCCTATTTCTTAAATATATTAGTCCTTTCCTGTGAAGATTTGCTTCTTGAACATATCAACAAAGAGAACAGACCTATGATACAGAGATCATGATGATCCAAGATACATTGGAGCCACAATGGAGATCTGGATAGATGTTAAACCATGCTGGGAGCTGTGAGAAGTTGATTAGCATCATATTCATCCGATGTTATATGTTAATTAGCTTTGGCACTTGTAATTCTGCATTTGGAATATGCTATGTAACTCCAATATCTAGTGAAATTAATACAAAATGATCTTATGAGATTGTGTTGATTTTGCTTATAGGGTAATGACTTATGTACAGTGAACCGACCACTTAGGCACTCGCCTAGGTGCCCGGGGGAGGCCCGAGCACTCGCCTATTGGGCTGTGCGAGCGTCTTCACTTAGGCGCGGCCCAAGTGCTCGCCTAGGCCCAGGCACTAGGCAGTGCCGAGTGCTTGCCTGGTTCAACTCAAACCAGGTCGAGCCTAAGTCGAACCAAACAATCACATCTAGTTCGATTTAACTGATTATCCATCAAGCTTGAGTCGAACAAAACACCAGACAATCGGTTATATTGAACCAATTATCTATTGCAGAAAGCTAGAAACCACATGGGAGGAAGAACCCTGATGCAGAAACCCTCTTTCCCACTTCGTTTTTGCACAGCGGCGGAGTTCCTCCTATTGGCAAACGACAGCAGCAGCCTACTTCCCCAATAGCAGCAACAGAAACGTCTTCCACCAGCAGTAGTAGCGGAGTCCTCTCCTTCCCGGTATATCTCTCGTTCACCACAACCCCCCAAGCATCGACTACAAACACCCCCGCACCTCACCACCACTGCCCCCCCCCTCCCTGCGCCCCCTCTTCCCTCTTCCCCATTCACCGCTGCCTTCATTGTTGTTTATCATTTTTTTATGGTTATGTTTCAATTTTTAGATGAATCAAAGTTGATTCTTTTAGTCTAAGTTTGTGAGAACAGCAGCTGCCTTCTAGGATAAGTTGACCTGGAAGCACTCTAGTGGGGCTTGAGCAGCCCTGTTTATATTAATTAACAGCAGCTCTTTATTTTTATTTATCATGATATATAATTTTTAAATTATAATATTCGGGAACCCGTGCTTCACTCGAGGGAGAGTCTAGCGCCAAGAGCATTTTGGGATTATGGCACCTTTTAGCGCCTAACGCTTATGACTATACTGCTTGTGAGAGTGAAGGACAGAGAACCCTCCATCCAGCAATCCTATTATGCATGCAGACCAAGCCATGCCATTTCAGTATTCATTACTTTGAACCAAGCAATAGATATACAGGCAAACCTGGGCTATTAGATTAAATCAACTTAACATACAGAAAGTCAATCCAATCAAATATGAACCTATTTTTTGAGCCGTAACTGAAAGGGCATATCTAGCCATTTGTCCTTCAAATCAGGGTCTGCCGTACCGAGCCGTACCACCCGGTATGTACCGGTCCGACAGGTTGTCGGTACGCGGACCGACTGTTACCGGTCCGAGTGCACTGTAGCACTGTAGCAGTGCTACAGTACTCGGTACACCTGGATGTACCGCTCGGTATACCGTACCGTACCGGTACCGAGCCCAGATCGAAATACCGGTACGGTACGGTATTGCGAACCTTGCTTCAAATATTTCCCAAAACTAAACCTAAATGATGCTAAGCAGATAGAATTTTCATTCTCTCATGCACTTGATTGGACATTGTAGCTGATATTTTAGATTAGCCAAGACAATAAAATATAAAGAACAACTAATATTTACACATCTTACCAGCAAGCCATACATATCACAGCATTGGTAAAATTCTGGCCTCTCAGCTATTCCACCACCCCAACAGCGTATCATGTTAAAGTTCATATCAGCGTGGAATTTTATGTCAGTCATGTATCTCTTCTTAGAAAGTCGTAATAGCCCATCAGACAATATCCAGTTTCCTCCACGGATAAAAACTGGTTCTCCATTCACTTTGAACAATCTGCAAAAGAATATCAAAGTTCAATGTGGCTCATATGATATTGAAATTTGTAAACTTTAATCATAAGAAGAGAGATATACAATCTGATTTATGTACCTGCCACCAGTAACATCATCAATAAAGCTCTCGATTTTACGGAATCCAAAACGATGGTTCCATGAATCAGATTCACCAGATCCCTTTACATCAACTGTTATCTCAACATCATACAAGGACTGCTTACCCATGCCATTTGGCCACCACAGGCTGGGTTTATAGAAGAAGAGCTTGCATGCCACATATTGTCAGTTGCATGATATTGAAAAATGACTATGCAAATTGTAGATGCCATAAAATAGGAGTCTTCTTGAATATGTGTGCATAACTACGAACACAATCTTAAAAATGCATGTCATATGTTTATCATATATTTATCAAATATATGTCAGATACGATGCTTAGAGGAGACTTCTGGAATAGTCAAATGTATCCATATTTTTTCGAAGTATACATCTTTCCTTCATTTTTACACCATTAGTAAGTATCCAGATCTTCATCCTTTATACATCTAAAGTTATATAAATCTCTATTGTTTTTTTCTCTAGATTTAACAATATGAAAATAACCCTTTTTCTCATACTTATTATAAGTTATGTATTTTGTCATACAACATTTTTTGTCTCTTTTTTAGTTGTAATATATCTTCCAAAAATTTTGATTGTTTTTACAACTTTGTCAGTCTTCAAGGCATGAACTCTTGGTACGGATTGTCCTTTGACCATTGGTCTTTTGTTATGCACATGATTCTTATATATATAAAGTATAAAGGTTGCTTATGGCTTCTTGTTCACCTCCTCTATTCTCTTTGTCACCTAATTGATCTTTATTTCTCCTGCACTGTACATCTAGGTTTATCCAGAAGCAAACCCCATGCTAAAATCAATTCTTTAATCCAACTGGAACCTCTTTATTAATGTTGCTCAAGAGGCATGCCTCCTGGACAAAAGTGGTGAATCAATCACTGAGCATTAACAAAAAAGGAAAAGTTTGGTAATATCCTCAACAGATTAAGTGAAGAAATATGATGCTACTTAATAAAACTGATTAACAAGAGCCTTAGATACAGGTTTATACACACCGGAGGTAGCGTAAATTCTATGTGTGTTCCAGGAGGAATTTGTAACTCATGAGATTGAAGATGCTCGACCAGGCAGATGTTTCCCTCTAATTCAGTGGTAACCTGCAGAGACAATAAACACTCTGCAAGCCATGGACTTTTGTTTTCTAGTCCAACAGTAGTATGGAGATACGCCCTCTTAAAGCCATCAAAGAATGATGAGACCAGGTGTGGATCAGTTATCTTCACAGGCTGCATCAAAGGAATGAAGAAATGCATCACAAAATTATAGGACCCAGATATCACTGTGCATCAGTTCCTATATGAGGAAAAGTCATATACAAACTGTAAACTAGTTAATCAAAGAACAAGCTAAAAATTCACAAAAGTAAATAAGAGTATAATGGTAGGATCAATGCACATATTCATGCAACTATATTTAGAGTATAAAAAAGCTATCATTGACCACTAATAAACCAAACTATGTTATGAGGCAACCTATACAAAAACAAAAACAAATTTAATGGATGCAAGAAAATCCAAAATAAAACAAAACCCAGAATAACTTTTGAATTGCAACTATTAGTACACAACAAAAATTATGTTGTGGTTATCTATTGAGATGAGAATCTTACAAAGAAATGCTAAAGAAAGAATAAACCTCACCCCTGTAACTTGAACTGATACTTCATCCCAAATCCCAGTGTTCCTGTCTCTGCAGTACAGAGGAAAAGATCTATCAAGAAAAGCAGGGACCACAATTTTTCATATATAGACAAACGATATATTATGAAATATGAAAAAGAAATAAACAATTGCCAGTGGTGATTGAACACTGGCACAGTTGTTACTGTAATTTGCATAACAGCAATATTCTATGCCTCAGGCATATACCTGCTAAGATGCATTGCCCGATCTCATAAACTAGCATGGAAACTGACATCCAAGGCATGCAAGCTTCATGCCATCTGATCTTAAGATTAATCAATGACCTAATTAGTGAGAAGCTTCCTCTTCTTCCTAGTCCGATACACTAGAGAAATTGGTACTTGGATCAAGACTTATAACCTTTATTTAAGCATTTATAAGCATATCAATAGTCACATGTAACTTTAAGAGATGGGGATCAAATATATACAACATATATGTTTATCAGTGAGTACACATAATATGCCTGTATATATTCCTCATTCCTCGATGTGGGATTATTAGACCATCATAGTCTTCACTCAAGGGTCAAGATAACCTACTAGAACCCACCTTTCTGGATCCTGACATGATGCTTACATGAGGAAACTTTCATCTTCATGCACGTATAGCAATCACATCTTGGAGAGTGTCAATCACAAGAAAGGCCCACAGAATTGCTTAGATATCATTTGTGATGACTCTAAACTAATTCTTTATTCTAAATATGTAAATCTAAGTCTTCCTTACCCCAATGTGGAGAATTAGATTATCACACAAGTTATTGAGCATGTAAGCTGTTTGAGTGATAGCAAATGGTATTTGTGATAACACATTATGACTAGGGTTACCTTACGTACACCAATTTGTGAATTTACTACTAATCAAGGATTTTAATTTCGAATAATACCATCCGTACTGGGCTGTACGTACCGGTCCATCAGCAGACAGGTACGTAGACCGCCCGTTACCAGGCGATAACATCAATTGGGACTATTTCCACTCCGTTATCAACCTAAATCAACCATCATTGTCCGCTACCGAATGGTATCAGTAGAGGGCGAAGAAAAGAGAAAACTTAAAGATCCGATGCCACTCTCCCTTGACAATCCCGATCCGTCGCCGCCCTTCCTCGCCGGACGCTGCAGATGATGTCACCACCTTGTCTAAGGCGACGAGGTATCGACGTTATTGGCGACTTCTACTCATCTGCGCAAGGAGAGAAGAAGTCTCGACGACATCTTGGCAACGTCGCAAGGAGAAACAATTTCTTCTCCCCATGCAGATAGAAGGAACGAGGCATTTTTTTTACTTTTTTGCACGGGGAGAAGGAACCCTCGGTTTCTTCTCCCCACGCGAGCAGAAACTAAGCGACGTCACCCTTTCTTTTTTTTTCATGCGAGGAGAACGAAACCTCCTCACGCGAGCAAAGCGTGGGGAGTATATATATATACACACACACACAGAGCGATATACCGAAACATACTGCTCGTTATAGTTATACCATACCGTACCGAGCTGAGTTCGAAACTCCAGTACGGTACAAAATTACAAACATTGCTACTAAAAACTTGTGCTTGTTTCAACCTAAAAGATTCCAAAATTTAATCTGATTTTATGGTAAACAGGATAGCATATACCAAGAACAAGACTCATGGAAACTTGAAGTACATATCTCATGTCAAGTGGGATCTAATTCCAATGCCCAATGGCCAATGGGTCCTCATTCTCCACTTCTAGGAAACAAGGATCATAGTAAGTTGAAAGAATAAAGCATCTAGCATATAGTTGTAGAGATATTGAAGTATAATGGATGCAAAACAATGTTTTTACAAATACAAAACCAACTAATACAAATATTTCAAAGATGGTGTATCAAGGACTCTTAGTTGAAGTGCCAATGACGTTTTGTAATTATCATATAATGTATAAATTGTTGAGAAAACCAGAATGATTTTTACATATGGAAATGGACAACATACAAATAACTAAGGAATTTAAAATAATGGCTCCCAACAAAAGTGCAAATATTTGAAATTCACTACAATAACACTTAATAGCATACCTTATTGGGGTCATCCAATCCCAACCTTCAACATAGTGAGCAGCAACATCTTTCCCGATCTGATTGGGACAGTTTGTAGTTGTCAGAATAGACAATTGTGTATTCTTTCAAATACATACCTCACCAAAAACTCAATTTTTTGCAGGAAAAATTGGAAAAAACAGACCATTTTTAATGTAAAATATAAATGCAACTATTGAATCCAAAACAGAGATTATGTAAAGTTCAGAAAAACCATCTGCAAATATGAGAACAATATATAAAATTAGAAGCGTTCCACTGACCTATTGACAAGAAGAAAAACATAATGCAGAAAACTTAGCTAAAGGATGTAACCCATACCGAGTCAATCTGACTTGATAAGGACTACACCAGACTTGTTCTGCCTAATTATTCAATGAACTACAAAATCATGGTTTGACTTTGATGATCATAATAAATAATAGGCACTAACATAAATTAACTGTTGGTTTTGCAGGTTGTTAGTTCGAATATAGTATTTGCCTCTCTTTATTTTTCACTATGTTTAACTAATATAATATCCTTCTCTCAGTTTAGCTTGCAGCATGCACTTGAGTTCAATTCATGTAGAATAATCATGCTTGCACATGGAAGAGGATGTTAAAATTTATAAATATATTTTCTTTATTAACAGCTTAACCCTTTGGAACTTGTGGTAACTTAATTAACAAATTTATCAATTTTTAATTAGGATTATATATATAGAGTCCTATTTTAAGTTATTTGATGTCTGAAAGTCATAATGAAGTTATAGAACTTTTAGGCAAGTTTTTTAATTGTTAGGAGTCACATTTCGAGAGATTCCTCTTTTAGTATGATATCTTGGGGGAACAGTATCACGTTTTCTCCCTCATCTTCCATGCATAAGAGCTTGTAAGGCCTATTCGTCATTCTCAAAGGTATGCTGTTCCATTTATGTATTAAATTAACATTATCTTTAGATTGATAACTATCTTCTTTTCTCTTGTTCTATATCCTAGGAGGCACTTTCTCCTACTCATATTCGAAAAATTCCTGATAGAAGGGTTTAACCTGTCACATTAGAAAATTTTTACATGACTTGTTTATACTAGCTTCTTAAGAATATATTTCTTAATCAAATTGAGAAAATTTAGTGACAATCAAATTAATATTGGGAATTTCATACTAATGATGCAACAAGAAATGAGACAAAAAAATTTACTGTTCTAATCAACTAATGAATTCCGCCCAAATAGCTTTGTGACTTACCAAAAACCAAAAGAACAGAAACAGCTAAATTTCTTAAACATAATCTTAATTTCATCATAGTATAAAAAAACAAAAATCTTGAAATTAAGCAGACAAGTAAATAATTAACAAGTTCACTCAGCTTTAACAAATATGGATGAACAAAACAACAGTCAAAGATATATTGAACATAATGAAACCTTTAAAGAAAACGACATAAGTGAATGGAGTAAGTCTAAAGAAAATGATACAAACCTCATGATCCCCACCTTGTCCTCCCTGAGGAGGTATGCTACCAGGATGATCAGGAGGATGAACAAGGACAGCAAGCATATTTATCCCACTAGGAGTAAGAATATCAGTAATATTCAGTGAATGTCTTCGGAACATCCCTTTAGGAAGAATCTCTTTGTGACCATTCAAATAAACTTCAGCTGAGTAATTAATTGCACGGAAGTTGAGGTGTACATGTTGATTTGCTGTCTGAAAAATAAAGGACAAACAATAATAAAATTTGGAATTCCAAGAGTTTATATAATTAGGATAAAAAAATTCAGCCATAAACAGCACTTTCATCTAATAATTATTCCTAGTTTTTTCCAAGTTACTGCCTGCTAGATTCTATATGTTGAGCATGTTACCAATTGTAACACTAATTTGATATTTTTTGAATTTGGGACACATTGATGTAACAACATTTTGTTCAAAAGTCAAACTTCATTAAATTTCAATGCATGAACCCCTAATTTTCACCATACCCAGATAACATCAGCAAGTCATCCTACTTCCACATTTATTTAGGACCTGTTCCATATAAAATCCACTTTCTCACTACCTGTACCACATCTCTTCCTTGAAACTAATTAGTATGTTGTACAGGGGCATATGGCCAGCAAAATACCATTCCCATACTCAAACATTGTTCATCTCATATAGGATTATCAAACCAGAATCCAAGTTATTGTGGTATAAGAATGATGAGATTATGGAACTCAACATTCTCACATTTATTGCTTCTTCAATGTTCATTCTAGTTCATACTGGCTTTTTACTGAACATGTACTTTAGAACAGTCAGTCAAAACAATTAATTTGACTGAAATTCGATTATTAGTTCCAAGACATAAAAACCTATCAAAATGGTCTATACAAACCAGTATTTACTGGTCCAATGACCGATTGGTACATAGACTAGACAAAATACCCAGTCCAGTCAAATATAAGCTTACATCTGGTACACTACTATAGTAGCACAATGGGCTGTGAAAGTACGAGTACCAAGTACCAACCATACCTTTTTAATCTTTTGGATTTTTTCTTTTAAATCTAATATTATCCCATTCGTGTCTTGAGTGTTTTTTTACCTCCATTGCTCATTTGTGTCACCGTCGTGGCCAACAAGGCCCTCCCAGTATTGGCACCAGGCCCAGATATATTCCTTGATGAGTTCTTTAGCAACACTGAATCTGATTCTGTTGAATTTATTCCAAACTGGCTTCAAATGGGACTAGGTTTATCCTTTTATATGACTGGTCCAATCCTGCTCGAGACCCCATTCCCATACAAGAACACAAAGGTCAGAGGTGCTGCAGCAGCCACCAGATGTCCAACATTCCCAAGGGTATCTTGCTGTTGATGAGAAAAAAATCACAGATATTGAATGCTGTTGCTAAGGAATGAATTGATTTTTTTGTCTCCTCTTTGGTTTTATGTCCTTTTTTATTTTCTATGACTTATTTGCCCAAAATCATTATGATTTTTTTAAAGCTGACTTTCTATAGGCATGTTTTGTCTCTTTTAGATTTCCTCTGATTAACTTTAATAAAGTTAAGGCAAATAAGAAGTGCACTATGAAACCCACTTATCTTGTTGACTGCCTAACAAAAGCAATTTCCCACAGTGCCCACATTGCTATAAATTATTTAGAATAGCGATATGTTCCTAGGTTGGTTTCATCACCCATAATTCTGAAGAAAAACTAGTTAAATATATATCCTACCAAGGAAGGACATTCCTAACATCTTTAATAGTCCAGAATATCAGGTTTAATACATTATTTTCATCCTTCCATATATCATGATCATTTGGAAAAGAAGAATAAAGGCAGAAAGTATACAGTGACAAAGATTTAATCTGAAGAACTTATTAAATAAAGCAACCATGCTAGCTATGTAATATGAATAATAGATGTAAAAAACAGAGTGAAACAAGCAAATAACAGAGCTTTAAACCTTTTTACACTCAAAGGTTGTGAAAAACCAAAATGTGTAATATTCCCTCCCGGAATTGGCAATATCAATTATTGCTTCATTGTTTAGCCCATAGAAAGGATCCGGCACCAAGTTGTTCTTTAGCAGCGTTCCCAAAACACTGTGAAAGAAACCAAAAAATTATATACATCAACTAGAAGCATAACTTAGTAACAGTAATCAGAAACCATAAACCATGTCCTTTATAACTTTCACAAATTATTCACATGGTACATCACTTATTTATATGTGCTCATGAATTACCTCAGAAACCAATAGTTCATCATGACAAAGGATATGTCATCAATTCACTTATTCATACGGTTTGAACTTCTCAACATCCACCATATCCATGTCACTTATTTTACAACTAACAAGATGCGATTGTTCCGTATAAAGAGGACCAAGGTCAAATGTTATGATGTATCCGGGCTATAAGTAGCCAATCATTTCATTCATGGGTCGTGGAACAAATTAGTCTCATATATCTCTATAGTGTGGCATAGGGAAAGCCTACTTGCCTTACAATAATGACATAGTGGCTATTACAGAAATAAACTTAATGATTATGATGCCATAACTATCACTACTTTGATTCGGTAGACAATTATATATCAATGTCAAATGTTGTAAGAGCAGTGTCATTCATGGATACATAAAAATTATAATATTGATCTCCAACCACATGAAAATGTGGACCTAGACCCACCTCCCCATGTAGCATTTATTTTGATGTTGGTAGTTTCCACTTTCCACACTTATAATCACTTTTAACAACTCATTCCAAACCTGCTATTTCCTGTCATATATAAGACTATTATGCATTGCGAGTAATATTCAGAGTAACTCCACAGAATGCATTGAAGAAATTGCCACAAATTTTACAATTCAACAATCTGATCTCCGCAAAGCAATCATCCTCTTTATGGGCTTAGATGAAATACTTCTATCAGACAACTTTAAACAATCCTCATCTAAGTTGGAATAGCCCCTTCAGTCTTTTTGAACCTAACACCCTCCAAAAGTTCCTTAAAAGAATGTCTTTTAAGGCCCTCTACAATTCTAAAATGATTCCCACAGCATAAAATGAAAAGAGGTCAAATTCCCAGAACCACAATGCTCTTCTATGGAATCCAACATCCTGCCAACATATTCCCCTTTATTGCATTTCCTTTTCATGAGGGTGAGCTTTAGTGTCATGATAAGATTGCTCCTTTGTAATCTAAGTGGCTGAGTTTCAAGTTGCAGAAACAACCTCTGTCACTTCTTACGAGGGTAAGACCAATTAAATTCATCCTTCCTAGACCCTGCTTTAGCAGGAGCCTTTTGTACTCAGCTGCTGTTGGTAATATTTTCCTTTTCATCAATGATTTATTATCACTCTTGAATCATCTCTACACCAATTCATCTCACTACTATCCTCGTCCAAAAAAATCACTTTCACAAATTTTATAAGAAGGGTGATGACAATCATTAGCAGACAAGTCTTTTTGAACTTCTGAATTACAGCATCATCCAGTGGCAGCACTTTGACTTATGTTTCTTTCTCTGTCATATTTCAGCTTTATCACCTACAACCTCTTCTCTCTTTGACACCTTCAATATTTTCTCTCTGCCCCTGGCTTATCAGTACAGACAGATACAAACCACAATTATCAGACTCCACATCATTTATCACTTGCTCAGAAAAAAGAGTCGGATCTGATCCTACAGATCTGGATTTATCCAGTCATCCTTTAATTGGAACCATGATGCTACAGATCACTTGGATCAGTATACATCGAGCAGGCCTTTCATGTCAGCACCATAAACCACAACATGTGCCGTCCAACACTCTGTATACTTAAATCTTAAAAGAAAAAAAATCTGCGGCTCCAGCATATGATATGTGAGTATATTGGCATGTACCAGACCCACATCGATTCGATCAGGGATCAACACAGATCTGGTACCCAAAACATTGAACCACGATTGGAACACTAATTCTATCACGGACTTGATATTTACCCATCGCATAGATTTTTCCTCGTCACACATCATTAAATCAAACATTTAACCACCCGATTCTTCACTTCAGAATATGGACCATGGACTCCCAGACCACAACTTAACTTGATGGTAAGACAAATTTAAACACCAGGTACCAAAACTCCAAAGATCTAAATACCCCCGTCCAACTTTCATTTGTTACTCGGTTCCCTGTTCATGGAATAATTTCAACCAACTAAACATTGCTCGCAAGTCTTCTACCGTCACTAAATACTTCAATAGAAAATCATTATTGCTTAAAAATATATCATTAATTGGCGAAAATTCCTCCAGTGCAAACAATTAATGTATCCGCCAATTTAGTCCATCACTACAACCTTTGAAGACCAAGATTCCGAACAGGAGGTGCATCTGCTAGAATTGCCTTCTTTGAAGACCCCAAGGCAGATCTCCTAATTTCTAAATGTGAAATGTGAAAAAGTTCACCAAGCAAACAACAGAAAATCCCGATTGCATAGATCTAGATCCAATTATAGATACAGAAACACATGATTACATGAGAAGATGATTTGGACAAGAACAGAGAGACGGTTTCAGTATTCCTACTAAAGCGCTCATTTCTAATCCCCTAAGAATCTTCCAGTCGGCAGTTCTTGCTGCACCTTCAACTTGAATCAAACTAAGGAATAAAGCAGATTCCTGCAGGTGTACACAATTTTTAAGGTCCAATTCGTGGTTCCCTTATCTAGACTAAGTAAATGAGACTATCAGATAAAATCAGGATTCCAGAAGCCGGTTGACTACATGGGCAATGGGGATTAGAGATAATCCGTACCAAGAAGCAATCTCCTAGTGCAATGGCTTAATAGACATGGAATAGAGCCAAATAAACAGCCCTCTGTAGCAACATTTGGATCACGCAATTGATTCTACAACATCTGATATCGAAAGAGGAAGAGGAATAATAGAACGGTGAAGCGAAAGGCGCAGGCTTACGTTCCGGGCACCACAGCCTCCATCCATGGCGCGGAGGGGCCAGTCGGAGGTTGGGTTGTCGTCAACTGCACGCCCGTGGCCGCTACTTCCGAGGATCTCGCTGCCAACCAACCCGAGTCCAGCTTCGTCTTCCCCATACCAACCCTCCTCCTCCGCTCTCCCAGTCCCCTTTCACAGTCCATCGGTGCGATGAGTACATCCATCCCATCGCGGCACCGAAGCACTCTCTATGTACCCTCGTCGTTTCTCACACGCCTTGGCCTCAGACGCGGGTCCCATCACATTATTAACTCTTCCCCATACCTCCAACGGTGATTCAAAACAGTACTCCCCTTTACCCTCTCACCCTTATTTTGACGATTTACATATGAAAAATATTATTTTTATTTCCTACCTTAGAAAACCCCTTTGTCAATTAATTTACTGAAGAAAATCCGCCTATTATTTTCGGCTTTTTTATTCCTAAAAATAACCTGCTTTCTTTTGTCTATTTCTTTCATTCAAATTCAAGTTCAAAAAAAAAAGAAAAAGAGAAATAAAATTCGTAATTCAAAATAAAATATAAAAAGTAATAAAAATAATTTGGAAGACATAACAACCAAAATTTCATATACGTGTAACTATAGAAAATACCTAGTTATAGTATTTCTCTAAAACAACATAGGTGACAGACAATATCTCTATCAATTTTCTAACTGTAGTATAGTTGATATATAACATTATTGACTCACAGCTCATAATCTAAGCTTTGTTTGTTTTTTAGGGTTTTAAATAAAATTCTGATATACTTATTGCCATAATTTAATTTAAAAATATTCAAATGGTAATAAAACAAGCCAAATATTTAATATATTAAAATTTAAGCCTGTGACAGTATCTATGATATCAACTATACTGTTCTATTATAAAAAAAATGTATTAAAATTTCTTATCAGCTCATACTGTGAGGACCTTAGGATGGCATAAAAGCTCTTAAAACAAGAAAAAGTTTCAATTTGGAAAGTAAATATTTACATTTAACATATTTCAATCCAATAGTACAAGGTATGGTAAAAAATTATTAACAAATAAATAGAAAGCATGATCAAGTATTTTAGAACTGCTTTAATAAAGTTTTTTAAAGAAAATAAAAAATTGTTATGTATCATGCTCATCATTCCATAAAAGAAAATTCTATTATAGAAAATATATCATGCTCATGATTTTTGCCAAGATTGAAAATATCATTATGTATCATGCTCATCATTCTATAATAAAAAATTTTATTATAGAAAATATATTGATACTCGCCAAGATTGAAAATATCATTATGTATCATACTCATCATTCCATAATAGAAAATTCTATACCTTTAGTGTTGTTACCATGTTAGATACATATTAAGCTCCGATTTCAAGCGTGAGATCCCGATTTTTTTAATCTTTGTAATAATAATTTTTCTCCCTTAAATATTTTACTATTCTCTATTATAATTAATAGAAATTGTACCATGTTGTCTAATATAATTAACACTATAATGATCATATAAGTTAGGGTTCAAGTTTTTAATATCTCTAATTTTATCACAAATAACATCACCTTCT